AGGGATGTCTCTTTAGTTTTACATAGAAAACACAATCCAATCTGTCACACTGTCAGTTTTTTAAACTCTATCTACAACAGATTAGAGTAGAATCATATTTCTAGCGACTGGTGACTCCAATTTGTTCTTCTTCTTCTAGTTCCATGACCGTTATCGATCGTTGGATATCATGTTGGCTACCATATTCGCTATCGTGACTTTATTGACAGCAGCTCTAAATAACGATGTAGTTGATTTTCCATATCATTGCCTTAGATTTTTCAGCCATGGTCTTCGTCTTCTACCAGAACCACGATTACCTTGGATCTTTTCCTGAATGATCAGATGTAAAAGATAATATTTTTCAGGGTGTCTCATAATGTGACCGAAGTATTCCAGCTTGCGTTTCTTTATTATATTGATCAGTTGTGTTTTTTGGTTCAGCCGTCTAAGGACCTCCTCATTTCTAACTCTGTCGACCCAGCTTATTTTCAGTAGTCATCTGTATACCCACATCTCAAAGACTGTCAAGCGTTTAAGCATAGCCTCAGTTAGAGTCCACGCTTCCACTCCATACAGCAGGACAGGAAAGATGTAGCAAGATGTCATACAAACTCTAAGGTCAATGCTAAGATCGTGACTGCAAAGTACGTTTCTCATTTTTACAAAGGCAGCTCGGGCTTGTTCTATTTGGCTTTTAATTTCTGCAGTTGGATCCCAGCTCTCATTGATAGTACTGCCGAGATATACGAGTTTCTCTACTCTGTCCAGTGTGGCAACTCCGACTTTTATACCGTCATCCTGTATATAATTTTGTTTGCTAACTATCATATATTTAGTTTTCTTAACGTTGAGTTTTAATCCACTGATCACAAGTCTGTTTTATTTTGTTCATTAGATTTTGAAGGTCTTCGCAATTGGCAAGGACTAAGGTATCGTCGGCATATCTAATATTGTGGACGGTTACTCCATTCACAATAATACCTTCGGTTGTCTCCATTAAGGCTTCCTTAAATATTTCCTCCGAATATAAGTTAAAAAGTAATGGCGACAATATACAGCCTTGTCTCACTTCTCTTTTTATATTTATTTCATCCGACAGTTCTTGTTCGACCTTTATTCTTGCCACTTGATGCCAGTATAGATTTGTAATTATTTGTAGATCTTTATCGTCCAATCCAGCTGTTTCCAATATTTCTAGTATTTTGTTATGTCGGACTTTGTCAAAAGCTTTTTCAAAATCGATTGCACAAATGTACACATTTTGATTTATATCTCTGCATCTCTGTACTAGCACCTGTATACTAAACAAGGCTTCTCTTGTACCCAAAGCCACTCCTAAACCCAAATTGAGTATTGCTAATTCTGTCCTCTAACATTAAGTGCCAACTGTATTAAATATATTTAATACAGTGTCTACAGAAAGTAAAGTCTTGGATCTATTTTATTCAAATTTGGACATACCAGCAACTTGGCAAGTATTTTCCAATTTAAGTGCTGCAAAACCATTCGTATAATTTTCATTCTATGCAAAATAGACTTATAGAGACCTTGAACATTTGATGTCGACAAATAATTTCGAGTATTCGACCCACTTCTGTTAACACGCCCGGTATACACATTATATTCATTTTATTTGCCTTTGATACAGTAAAATCCAATATTATTACTGAACATAAAATACATTTGGACTTGGGAGTCCAAATAACATCAAAAGCAGGAAGTAGCGAAGAAATACATTCCGGGATTGGCCAAGCAAGATCAGCCACCACAGCTACACGGATTATTATAGAACAAAAAAATAACAAAAGAAAATAAAAGAAGAATTTATAAAACAATAATAGAAAGTATTGGACTGTACGGTGCCGAACTCTGGGAAATAAACCAAAGAAACAAATCAAAAATTAAGGCCATGGAAATGAACTACTGGAGACGATGTTGCCAGCTCACTAGACTTGATAGGGTGAGAAACGAAGATATTCGGAGAGAAATGGAAATCGATCTAGACATAATAGACAAAATCGAAGCCAAAAGACTTAACTGGTATGGACACCTTCAGAAAATTCCGGAAAATAGATGGCCAAAAAAAAATAGAAGAATGGACTCCGCCAACTAAAAGAAAACGAGGTAGACCAAGACGATCCTGGAGAGACGATGTCGACGATGCAATGACCGCCAGAGATCTAACAACTGAAGATTGCTTCGACAGAAAACGCTGGAAATTAGGATGCGAGAAGCGGCGCCAGCTGTAGATGACTCGATTGTTATATATTATAAAATACATAAAATTAAATATTTTTACTTTCAAGCGATCGGAATCAAATATTAACGCCCCACTGTTTGAGGCCCACTGATTATATCTTAATTGCATATCATCGGTCGTCATAGGTTAAAAGGACTTTACCAGAAGACTACAACGATGCCAGATGAAATGAAAAATAGAATAAGAGCTTTGGATAACAATGACTTACCAATGTTAAAAAATGTAGCTCGCTCATTTGAATATCGTTTAAAAATTTACGTAGAAGTTGGAGGTAGACATTTTGAACATTTGCTGTACTTATTTTCTTAATATTACATTATTCACATACATCATTTATTTACTATTTTTGTTTGGAATAAGCCACAATTAAAGTTTAAAATAAATTTATTTTCGACGGTTCAATTTCCACTTTGGCAATCATTCTCCAAATCCGAAGTGGAAATCGCCAATGCCAATGTCAAAACTAAACATTGGCTTATTCCCAATCAACATGTACAGAAATGATGGACAAAACGGATCGAAAAAGGCCCAACTAGTGCTGTAGTATAACATATGGAAGATATATCACAGTTCATATCAAAATTGGTTTCTTCCAGGTATATCAACCGAGAGTGCATCAACAACATTTTTTAAATTCATTTATAGTTCATTAGATCAAAAGAAATTTGTTGGAGCCCTCTTTTTTGATTTAACTAAAGCTTTTGACTCTATAAATTTAAATGTAGCAATTTGTAAACTAAACGGACTTGGATTTCGAGGTAATTTTTTAAAATGGTTACAATCCTATCTAGAATATCGACAGATATATGTCAAAGTCGGTCATTATCAATCGGATTTGTATGACGTTGATCTTGGCGTTCCACAAGGATCAATACTGGGTCCTTTATTATTTCTTTGTTATATCAATGATATGCCTAAATATATGAGTACGAAAATATTTTTTTGTATGCTGATGACACGACTTTGGTGACATCTGCAGAAAATGCTGAGGAATTGAGGTTAAAACTCAATGAGTTTACGTTTTGGTGCGAAAAAAAATTCCTTAATAGTAAATTCGAGTAAAACAGTATGTATGCAATTTTATATAAAAACTCCAATAAAGGAAAATTTCTCTGTCAAAGTCGACAATGATTTTATCACTTTATCTGACACTACAAAGTTTTTAGGACTACATCTAAACAGTAATATGAGCTGGGAGGTACATATTAATCATGTATGTTCGAAAATTAATTCTGGATACTATGCTCTTTTGCAACTCAAATACTTATTTACAAGGGAACAGATACTTAATGTTTATTACGCTATTATCTATTCACATTTGTCATATAATATTGTTCTATGGGGCAGTGCAACAAATGTCTCGAAAGTTTTTATAGTCCAAAAGCGCATAATTCGCTTCATTTTTAATTTACCATATAGACATACGTGTAGAGAGCATTTTAGAAAATATCAAATACTCACTGTTTCCTCAATTTTTATATACAGAAGTATTCTGTATTCTTCTTCTTTAAGTTCCATCTTCTATCGAAGGTTGGAAATCATCATGGCTATGCGGACTCTGTTGACTGCCGCTGTAAAAAGTTCTGCACTACTGCATTCAAATCATTCCCTTAAGTTCTTAAGCGAGGATATTCTTCGTCTTCCCACATTTCGCTTTCCTCGGATTTTGCCCTGCATAATAAGTTGTAATAATGCGTAGTTTTGCCCTTTCATCACATATCCCAAGTACTCAAGTTTTCGTCTTTTAATAGTTAATATTATTTCCGCCTCATTTCCTATCCTTCTAGTTACTTCCATGTTTGACATTATTTGAATCCATGATATTCGTAGGATTCTTCTGTAACACCAAAATTCAAAAGCGCCCAACTTATTAAGATGAACTTGTTTTAGTGTCCAAGCTTCCAAACCATAAAGAAGAGTAGAGAACACGTAACATCGAAGCATTCTCAGGCGTAGTTCTAACCTTATATCCCGACAACAAAGAAACTTTTTAAGTTTAATAAATGATGTACGTGCTATTTCAATACGTGTCTTAATTTCTTTGGTTTGTTCTACATCTGATGTTATCCATGTTCCTAAGTATTTATAGTTATTAACACTCTCAATTGCAGTATCTTCAATAGTCATTATTCTGTATACAAAAGCTATTATCAATAGATTGAAATCAAATTCAGATGTACACAATTATCGTACCAGAAAAAAAGATTTCTTTAGGACTCCTTAACATTACACTTCTATGTTTGAAAAAAAAACCCTGATTATAGCGGCGCGGCGTAAGGTTAAGGTTAAGATTAAAAAGTGAAGCAGATGATGATAGGCATTTAAGAATAAATTGAAGACTTATCTCATCGAGTGATTTTTTATAGTGTCTCGAATTTATGTCTTAGATATGTTGTATGTTGTTTCAATATTTATGTGTATGTTTATATTGTATAGGTAGTCTTTAACGTTTCCTTTTACTTTGACATGTCCTATATTATGTAAATAATCTGCAACGATGAATAAAGTTTTATTATTAGTATTATTATTATCATCACTAATGAAATAAAAGATTTGGTTTATTCTCAAAAAAATGGAACAAACTGGGTTTGTCCCGTACAGTTCCTAATATTTCAGTAGAAAATTTCCCATCTCTACATGGGTATACCTCAGTAGGTACCAAGTACTACTATTAGTTGTAAAGTTAGTAATAATTTATGTGCAATGCAAAATAAAAAAAACGCAAGAGCGTGATCGGTCAGTCGGAGAATAACATTGACGGATTGATGTGCATTTGATTCTGCATAAAAAAACGGTTACGGTTACGGTTACGGCTCTAACTTGTGTGTTACGGTGTGTATTTTTCATTTTTTGATTAACCTCCAGTGACGGAGTACCAGCACCTTATAACTCTTTTATTTTGTCTTGAATGCAACATTTCTGTTGATGGTATAAGTGACATTTGTGGTCGTTACGTAAGAGTCATTTCTTTTAGTTAATGCACAGAAATGACACTTTAATTGTAGTTTTAATACTTTTGGAGTATGTGGTATTTTCAACAAAAACAAATCTAATTGATGCCGGTGATAGGAATTGCTTACTTTCGTTTTCTTCTTACTTTAAATGTCACGAGTTGTAATATTTACATTCAAGGTAATGGCAAATTACACTTAATTCGCAGTATTTTTGTTCGAAATTTCATTCTAAATTAATGTGCACATATTTTTTCTGTCAAAGTTTCAATTTTTAGTGCCCGACATCCTTTTTCTTCAGATTTTGCATTGTTCTTCTTCCATTTTACTATTCTTTCTATTCGTTGTTACATTTTTTTAAGTGTGATCATACCAACACCAATGCCACCTTACACTGTGCTTGGCCCAATAAATTGGTGTCATCCCAGACTTTCCCTAATATACTCATTCCTAGGTCACTCCTCAGTCCACTCATCCATCTAAGCATTCTCAGTTTTGCCACTTGCATTCGTTATTCCTCTTTCTTTTTAACTGTCCAAAATTCAATTACCTCCATTAAAGCTGGACCTATGGCACTTCTCTAGAATTTTTCTTTCAGTTTCATTGGAATCTTTCTACCACACAATGCACCAGTAAACATCTTCCATTTCATCCATCCTGCCCTAACTCTGCAAATTATGTTAGGACTAATTCTCATGTTTTCTTTTATTTTGACCATACACTTAATCCGAACATTTTTACACCCACTATTTGGCTTGTAGTGCTTATCTCCCATATTATGGCCTTTTCCCCTATCTTAATATCAAAATAATGTATTCGGGATTTATTTTGTCAACTTTTATATATGATAATTTTGGTTTTCTCTTTTGGAACAACCTGTTAACAAACACCACATCTAGTGCCACTTACTAGTTTAAGTATATCAGCTTCAGAGTCATTTCTAGTTCCAGAACCAGTTTCCTACGTATCGTTTCAAATGTCCTCTTAGTTTGACCCATGTGTGTTTTGAAATCACCTTCACCATTGTTGTAATATCTCTAAGTCTTCTTCTTCTTCTTTTTATGTAGACATGACTCTGTCTGTTTTTCAATGTGCCTTCAGTAAGTTGTCATTCCATCGTTTTCGTGGTCTTCCTACTGATCGTCTTCCTATTGGGGAACCGTCTCTTACCGTCTTTACTACTCTATTTGTTGTCATTCGGCTTATATGATCGTTCCATTCTACTCTTCTATTTCTTGCATCTATGTCTTATATCTGTACTTCTAGCTCTGTCCCATAGTGTCTTACCATAAATTTTTTTAAGTGTTTTCATCTCTGCTGTTTCTAACATCCTCTCTGTTCCCGATATTTTTATTTTTCCATATTGTTTCATTTAGGCAACCTGCGGCTCTGTTTGCTCTATTCCCTTGATCTTCCACTTCGGTTTCGAGCTTTCCATAGCTAGATAATGTGATGCCTACATTTTTAAACTCCATCACTTGTTCTATTATCTGACCTTCCAGCTCCAATTTACATCTTAGTAAATTTGCTGTTGTAACCATGCATTTTGTCTTTGTTGGGGAATTTAACATGTGAAATTTTCTGGCGGTTATATCTCTAAGTATAATAACTCTTCATTGATCATAAAAAGGTTTCTTTCATTTTTGACTTAAGAAGTATCATCACTCGTTCTTATCATCCATAACTCTTTTTAATAACTCCATCTAAGCGTATCCACCAATTTTTTATACTTACCACGATTCCAATACCCCATCCTGACTTTACGAACTTATAATATTGTGATAGATCAGGATAACCATGATGATTTCCAATGTTCGATAGAAATGATAGAACAAGAAGAGGAAGAATGTTGTGAAGTATGCTACATCCGGAATTCCAAATGAAGCCGTTCTTCTTCCCAACTTCTTCTGAACTTAGATGAAACACTGCTTGTCTATGGTAGTTAAGATTGTACGACCTTTGTACCAAATACTGTAACTTTCTTAGAGGAGTTTAAGGGTTACTTATGGCTCCATACTTGTTTTTCCAGTATATACCAGCCGCATTTCATCGTGGCGGTCCATCAGTGGAAATACTTCAGTTTGAAACACTGTAGAGAGTTGTCCCATACAGTAACATTCTGTTTTTTAATTGTCTATTATAGCACTCCTGTTGCTACAGGAAAGTCTTCAATAAGTCGCTAGCAAGTTTTTTATAGTTTTTTAACCCATTAGTGAACCATATTTGACCTCTATCAGTATAGAAAATTATATATTCTCTATATATGATCGCATTCATTTTCCCAATTATGTTAAGGTCTGTTATCATCATTTCTGAGTCCATCACCTCAAGTATGGTGCCAGTAATGTTTTTCTGCCAGTGTGTTTTCATTGTTGTATTTATTTATCACGTCCACTACTAGACATAGTCTTAAATTCCTTCATTCTTTACGATTTTGTGCTCTTTTGTTGCCAATTTTTGGCAACAAAAAGGAAGAAGGAAGACCATCTGCAAAACGTGTAGATGGTCTTTCTCTACTACGTTTGTATGCTTTCAGCCTTCAATTTGTATTTTTGCTCGACCATCGTAAGTCGTGCATTCTCGCTACATGGCCTGCCCAGTTCCATTTCAGTTCTACTATGCGTTACACAACATCAGCAATGTTTCGAATATCTTCGTTTTTTATTCGGTCATTCGTTTCTGTGCCACCCTTAATTTCGAAGCTGTAGTCTTCGTTAGAGTAATAGTTTCCTTCCCATAGGTTATGACTGGTAATACGCATTGGTCAAATACTTCCTTTTTGAGACTAATTGGTATTTTGACCCTAAGTGTTTTCCAAAGGCTGCCCACGCTAAAGTATTTCGTCTTTGGATTTCGCATGTTTGGTTATCCCTGCTGATCAGGAGGGATAACCATTTTGGTATACTTCTGCTGATTTTAGAGAAGCTCACTGTATTATTACGACCTGAAAAGATTAACATAATACTTGATGTATATGTGACTTTTCTAAAGTGCGGTCTAAATGTTTGAAATATAAAGATTTTTATTCAATAGATCATAAAACCGCCTGTGTCAACTCGTGCCTGAGTTAAAACTTTTTGTTGTTAGACTGTGAACCTATTTTCCTTCATATGTATCACAACAATCTACTTCTACTCTCGAACTGTAGAATAGTCATCAAAAGAAGAATGGACGAATTCTTGCAATTGTTTATTGAAGGTAAAGTAACAATATTACTGAGTTTTGTGTATTTATGTCATTGTTTATGTTGTTTTTATAAACCATGTCAAATATTTACTGTATTTATTTGTAGATAACAAAAACTCCTATTGTTAACCAGTTCTATGCAGGATACGCTATAATTACATATTTATTATTGAAAAGCATTCCAAACTAATTTGTAATTATATGTTTTCTATACAACAGTGACTCACAAAATGTTTGGAACATTTTTCTCCATAACGATAAAGGGATAATTACGGGGACATCATATTAATTACACTATTAATAATCCTCAATGAAATAAACAAACTATTTATTAACAATTTAGTTAACAAAGAAACATACTAACTGACGATGTAACTATCTATCCCGTCAGTTGGCTGTTTGTTATCTAAAAGCTCTCTTACTCATTAACATGTATTTTGTTTTTTATTATTATTATGTCCAGCCCAGACTAGAGCAAAACGAGGTAAACCAAAACGGTCCTGGAGAGATGTCGAAGATGCAAGAACGGTTTAAGAAGAAATTGAAAACCTCTCAAATGTTTCTGAAAATGAATTCGAGGAAGAACCTTATTTTGCTTTAGAGTCTAATTATGTGTGGATGTAAACATCACTGCTTCCGACCAAGAAAGTTCTGGTAACGCGGAAATATCTGAATATCTGACTGCACAATGGAATATACTAAATACAAATTTTTGTCCGAAAAAAGAAATTCCTATTCAGAGAAATGGAATAACAATGACCTACAATTTTTCTATTCATGGGAAAAAAAGAAAATTATGTCGTTTATTTTTTATAAAAACACTAAATGTTACGGGTGTATTAATGCGTATAGCACTTCAAAAGGAAGTCCTTTTAACAAATTGAAATCTGAGGAGGAAAACCGAATTCGTGAGCATATTCGATCTTTTCCAGCAGTTGAGTCTCACTTTTGCAGATCTTAATCTAAAAAAATATTTGGATTATTTTCTGAACATTTCAATAATGTCTAATATGTACAAGAAAAAATGTGAAACAATGACTGTACGTCCAGTGTCATTTGAAAAGTACAGGCAAATTTTTAAAGAGTACAATTTATGTTTCTTTAAACCTAAGAAAGACCATTGCAAGAAATGCTTATAATATCAAAACATGACGGAAGTGGAAAAAACTTCGGAAGAATGGCTCTATCAAGAGCATTTAAAAAGAAAAGAGTAGGCGCGTCATGCTCGCGATGATGACAAAGAAGTACCTAAAACCAATTTGAAGTCCTTGTCATTTAACTTTGATCTTGAAGCAGTTTTAATGATTCCAAAAGGCCTTGCTGGTCAAATATTTTATTTGCGTAAACTCGCAGTTTACAATTTACAATCTGGTACACCAAGATGGAGTTTGTTATCTTTGGCACGAATCACAGGGGATTCAAAATGGAAAAGTGGCTCAAATGAGATATCATCGTGCATTTATAACTATGTTTTATCACATCCAAATATAACAGAAGTTAGGATGATGTCTGATGGGTGTGGCGGACAACAAAAAAATGGTTATTTCGCTGGAATGTGCATAAGGTTGCTCTCAATTCACCCTAGTTTGATGGAAATTAACCATAAATTTTTTGAATCTGGTCATACAGAAATGGAATGTGACTTAATTCATTCTAAGATTGCACAAAAATTGAAATATGTCCCAGTATATACACCTGAAGGTTGGGCTCATTTAATAAGAGGTGCTCAATTAAAGCCAAGGCCGTTTGAAGTCTCTTCTTCTTCTTCTTCGTCTAGCCATTCACGTCCACATCTGAACATAAGCCTCAACAAGTCTTCCTTTCCATTGTTTTTTATTGTACGCTACTTGTAGCCAATTTTTCCCGGCAGTCCTTTTCAGATCATCTGTCCATCTCATAGGAGGTCTGGCTCTGGGTCTTTTGTGTTGGTATGGTCTCCAGGTTAAAATTGATCTATGTCATTTGTTTAGATCGCTCCTAGCTACATGTCCAGCGTATTCCCATTTCAACTTTAATTATTTTTGCACCACATCGGTGACTTTGGTTTTCTGTCTTATCCATGTGTTTGTTTTTCTTGTCCTTAAGTAATATACCTAGCATTGCTCTTTCCATCGCGTGTTGAGTGAGAGTATATTCATATTCTTTTTTGTGATTGTCCATGTTTGTGCCGCATAAGTTAATATTGGAATAATGCATGCATGAAAAACTTTAGATCTAAGATGTAATTGAATTTGTTGATTTCTGAGTATATAGTTCAGTTTACCGAATGCTGCCCAAGCTATCTTTCTTCTTCTTTTTATTTCTTCAGTTTGAATTTCCCTATTTAGTATTATTTTTTGTTTCTAAGTATATATATTCTTCAACTTTTTCTATAACTTTATCGTTTAATATTGTCACGGTGTCTTCGGAGTGCATGACTTTTGTTTTGATTAAATTCATTTTCAGTCCTATTTTAGAAGATTCGGTATGTAGTTCTAAAAGCATGGTTTGCATTTCCTTGTAGGTCAGTAGCTATCAGGAATATGTCATCTGCAAGTCGTAGATTACTGAGGTAGCGGCTACTGATGTTTATTCACTTATATTTCCAATTTAGGTTTTTAAAAACGTCCTCCAAAACTAAGGTGAACAGTTTGGGTGATAAAGTATCTCCCTGTTTAATGGTACAGGGTTCGTGTGTTCATTTTCATTTAGCTGTAGCTTGGTTCATAGTTTCTTTTATTAAGTTAATATATCTGCTGTCTATTCTACAATTTTGCATTGCGTTTATTACGGCTGTGTGTTCTATGGTATCGAAAGCTTTTTCGTAGTCTACAAATGCAGGGAAATCTGGAAACTTGTATTCTTTACATTTTTCTATTAATATTTTTGTGGTTAACAGGTGATCGGAAGTTGAATAGCCTTTTCTAAAACCTGCCTGTTCATATGGTTGGTATTCGTCTAATTTCCTTGTTAATCGAGTAGTTATGACTTTGGTGAGTATTTTTAAACAGGTGTGACAGTAGGCTGATGGGTCTGTAGTTTTCCAATTTTCGACTATCACCTTTCTTGTGTAATAAGATTACTTTAGAATTGTTCCAACTCTTAGGGACTTTGCCCTGATGTAAACAACTGTCCACAAGCTTAGTTACAATTGCAATTAGTTCCTTACCCCCTTCTAATATCATATTTGTGGTAATACTATCTTCTCCTGCAGCTTTATTTTTCTTCATGTTTTCCAATGTTGTAGTTACCTCTGAAATTGTTACTTTTGGCATTATTTCTGATCCAACATTTTTTATTAATTTCCGTGCTGGTCTCATCTCATCATCTTGTTGATGTGTTCTGTAAAGTTCTGTGTAAAATTGTTCTATTCGTGTCAGTATGTTTTCTGTAGTTGTGATTTCATTTTCGTCTTTTTCCATTAATGATATCATCTGACGTCGTCCTAGTGTCGGTCTGAGGCATTTCATACTCTTATTTTTTTCAATAGTTGTTGTTATTAATTTTTCGTTTTCTTTTCTTTTTTGTTGTCTGATTCCTTTTCTAATCTGCCTATTAAGTTCTCTATATTCGTCGGTTCCCCTTTTGTTAGATTTATTTAAGATCTTCCTTCTTTTTATTTGTTGTAATATTTCTTTGTCTAATTCACTGTATGTTGTTTTTGGTTTTTTCAGTTGCAGAAGGCTCTTATTCACTGTTTCGGTAATAAGGTTATTCAAATCATCAATATCATTGGAGTTTATCTGCTGCATGCTATGCGCTATCTTTTTATTAAATTCACTATTTTTGATTTATTCAGATGTCCATTTGTATCTTTTTTCATGTATTCTTTTTCTTTCTAGTTTTTTGTTAATTATTTTGACGTTTGAAGTAAGAAACCTTAACTTCCAAGATTTCTTCGACTTCAGGAATTTCGAGTCAAACTCCTACAAAGAACAAACAAGATTCTCTGGCGTCAGATTTGTTGTCTGCGCTATTTAAACACAGAAGGCACAATAAAAATGTTTTACAAAAAAAATTTTATAAGTTCTCCGAGGTTGATGTTACGAATAGCCGCGGGCGGCCAAATAAAGATATTATGGAATTACAACCTGCTGATAACAGTGAATTGTGCATTTCAGCTGCAAATATCAAGACTTACAAAAAATGTACTATACCAAAAAGTTATCCTAACTTTTTTAATTCTATGAAGGTAAATGAAACTGTTAGAGATAATCTCCCAGAACCTCATTTCAGCGAAGATTCGGAAGAAGATCAGTTTTGTGTTGTTGCACAGCCACCTTTACTTCCAAGCCATGAAGTAAAAAGGGCAACACCGCATTCTATGACGTCGGTAGTCCGATAATCAGCTGTAAGGTCTACCATAAAATTACTAATTTGAACTAATTACAGAACTAATTTGAATTTTAGGAAATTGATATTTTGAAAACTTCAATTCATTACAGAAATATTTTTAGGGAAATTAAATTAATAAAACCCTATATATACCTAATAAATATATATAAAATTTTATTATTATTAAGGTTATATTATCAATAACATAATCATTACAGTACAATTTATTGCATTTAAAATACAGTGTCAAACAGTTAATCTTACAATCAAATGCAGTCAAGAATCTCTAGAAATTTTAAATATTAAGTTTTTAAGCATATAAATAACACAATACATTAACACGACATTTAAAAAGATTATTAAAAATACAAAAGATATAAAATTTGTTAAGTAAAAACTTAGTATAACTATTGTGATTAAAAAATTCATCCTAAGAAATCAGACACAATATAAATATGGTTCTAAATTAATCTAATTAAAAATTAAATATTTATGCGAAAGTAGCAATTTTATATATGAATAGGTTTTTTGTCATATAAACCAAGTTAAAAGAGGTATGCATGAAAATGTGTTGAATGTAACATACCATTTATAACTTGTATATCGATTTAAAATAGCCTATATTCTCAAAAGATTTTTGTATGTAATACTCAAATTTGTTCACTTATCTAAAAAGCAGATCTATATGGAGAAAGGAA